AAATAATCACTGGCAATTCTTTCCTATAATGACAATTTCACCTTTCATACATGGCATTTCTCTCAAAAACGCATGGCAATTTTAGTTATTTTGACATGGCAAGTGGGGCGTTCGCTGGCAATCGCCCGCAACGAATGTTCGCCGGATAAACGCGTTCGTAGTATATGGAATTACAAGGGATAGAATTACAAATAAAATTAAATTACAAGGGATATAAAATTCTCATACATCAAGTGGCAGTTCCGCTTTTTGGCACGAGTTCACATGAGTCCGAATTCAAAAAAAAAAGAGTAAAATTTTCCCGCGCAGTGTGATAAAGTGGAAGACCATGTGCACCTGTCTCGTATCTGCCCGCCGCGTGTGTCCGGCTTTGAATCTCATCTCATATAAACAATTTAGGAACGAGCGAAGCGTGTGGCTTCTTTATCGTGGTGCTCATTATCCATCCTCTCTCTCTCATAAAAAATGGATGATGCTCCCCCAAAAAATCACTCCATGGATGACACAGAAGCCATTGACTTCAGCCAGGCCCTACCTACCGTCCCAACCCGAAATCATTTGAGGCGCACTGATAATTTGAGGCGCTGTCCGCATCATCTGGCAGTGGCCGGTGAAGATCGCAGCCGCAGATGGCCCCGCGAAAGCGAGTTTGGTTGGTGAAAAACGTCGCGTCGTCTTCTTCCCCTTGGCGCCCCGTGGAGCCATTCCCCGTCCACTCCCACATTCCCACGGGCCACCGGGGAGAAAGAGATACCTTCCTCTGCCTCCATGAGGACCATGACGGCGATGGCGGCGGCGCTCCTGCTACTGGCGGCGGCGCAGGCGCAGGCGCGGGCGGACCCGGCGTGCTACCCGCGGGTGTTCAGCTTCGGGGACTCGCTGGCGGACACGGGAAACTTGCTCTACCTCTACGGCAACGACTCCTACGAGGCCGCGACCAGGCTGCCCTACGGCGAGACCTACTTCCACAGAGCCACCGGCCGATTCTCCAACGGCCGCCTCATCGTCGACTTCATCGGTACGGCACAACAACCAACCGCCTCGCTGGATCCATCGGCCAGCCAGCTTGGTAGCAAGAGTATGTATACTAACTTGAAATCTGTGTGGGCGCAGCGGAGGCGCTGGGGTTGCCGTTCGTGCCGCCGTACCTGAGCGGGCGGAGCGCGGAGGACTTTGCCGGCGGGGCTAACTTCGCCGTGGGCGGCGCCACGGCTCTGAGCCCGGACTTCTTCTGGGAGAATGGGGTGCCCGCGTTTCGGGCTGACACGGTGCACCTTGACATGGAAATGGGGTGGTTCCGCGACCTCCTCGGCCTGCTCTGCCCCGGCGACGTCGCCGGTATGATAATTCGGCCCCTTCTCTTTTCCGCTTTGACATGGACCTTAAGCCTCAGTTACTTACTAGTACTAGTAATTTCAGTATTCCCTCCATCGAATAAGGCGCGCACGCTATTTTCACAATCAAGTTTAACCAATAAAACAGCAGTAACGTGCGATAAAATTTATACCGTTGAATTCGTATTAAAACATTCAATGATATAATTTTTAAGTCACAAAACCTATACTCCTTTTGTCCTAAAATAAATATCGCTGTTGTACTAAATCAGAGACATTTACTTTGGGATGGAGGCAGTATATTATTAGTCCAATTAAAGGTTATTGTTAAATCTCGTGTACGCTTGTAATAGAGGTAGTACAAGCAACCAAACGTTTTTCATCAATCTATTGAGAGAGTGTGCACTTTCAGATTAAAAATGTTACACAAAATGGTTCTTTGCAGCATGTGCTTCGGAGATATATACAGTAATTCATAAAAATTATATTCTAGTGTATTTGGAAAACAAGGGCAAATATAGTTTATGTCTTTTATATGCTTGTAACTTTTAATAGTAGAATACCTTTTGCCCCGAAGAGAAAATATTCTTTTATGCTCGAGAACTATTGGGCATTCTTTTCACGTAACTTTTGCAAGCACACAAAAAACTTGAAATTTTTTATATATCTATTTTTTCTGGACTCTTAATATATCCAGAGAATTATCTTTGAACCTGGAGCAAGTGCTTCTAGGTGACTTTTCATTTTTCTTCTCTAAAACCTCTAATTATACATTTTATTTTGAAACTTATTATTCAACTATGCAACTCTAGTACTCACTCCATCCAAATATACATGGCCTAATACGTTTTTTTATGTTACCTCTGACCACGAATTAGAGCAGTAATGCCTTCAAAAAATATATTAGAGCAGTAATATATGTCATGCATGTTACATAAAGTATGCCATCAAATTTGTATGTGAAAGGAGTTTCTAAAGATATAATTTTTGCATCATACATCTCATTAATCTTATGAATGGTCAAAGACCACCTTAAAATATGTATTATCCTCTATATTTCGATGGAGGGAGTACATCTTTGGACGCTTCGCATCACCATCAACTTTGCCTCGTTGAGCACACCCTGCCCACTGCCCACAATACCACTTTGTACGTTGGCTCACAGCATCTCTGTCCTCGCTCAACACCACCACTAGTCCACTATGGAGTATCGACTTCACCTCACGGAACCTAACCTATAGACTGGCCGTTGGCTCGATTTTTCATCATTGACTTTGTTTTGTTGATGCTAATCACTACCCAAGTTACATCAAAAAAGAGAATGTTTTGATATATATGTAACCAGATATAATACTTTGAAAAGTTAATCAATGACCAAAAAATTAAATAATTGAATATTAAGAAAAACAATGAAATGCACCGAGTAAACAAAATAGTTAAAAACTTCTAACAACCTGTCATGTGTGAACAACAGTTGCAGAAAAAAAATGTGCAACAAGATAATAATAAGT